TCTCTCTCTCTCTCTCTCTCTCTCTCTATCTCTCTCTCGCTCTCACTCTCCCATTTCCAGCTCCAACGTGCCCAGCGTCGTCTCCGCAACCGTCGCGTCATCAACCGCATCCACCACCGCCGTCGCGTCAACGCCCGCCGTGCCGCCAACCGCATCGCCCGCCGCCAGCGTCGCAACCACCAGCGCAACCTGCGCAAGGTGTTCCGCAAGCTCGCCAACGAGCGTCGCGCCCACCGCGCCCAGATCAAGGCTCTCCAGAGGGTACGTTAAGTGTCGAATTTTCGAGCTTTCTGAAAATTCTACAGGGTCTGAATCGAAAAAACTTCCCTTTTCCGATCAAACTCTAAGTTTTCCAGAAGGCTCCCGCCGCCACTGAGGCTCACTAGACGCACCACCGCTTCAAAAGTCACAAACCACCCCCAGCGGTCACCAATTAATTTATTGAATTTGAATAAATAACTTATTAAAGGAACTTGAATGACATGAAAACTTAATAACATTGAAAAGATACAGAGTTTCTGTTTCTCTCTCGCACTCTCTCCCCTCTTCCTCACACACACTCTCTCCATCTATCTCGATCTCTCGCCTATTCTCTTTCGCTTTCTTTTTCTATATCTGTCCCTCTCTCACCCTCGCACTCGCACTTTCTAGCTCGCTCGCTCGCTCTCTCTCTCTCTCTCTCTCTCTCTCTCTCTCTCTATTTCACTTGTCGACGCCCTTTCAAGGCCAGTTCATCACAAAAAAGGAGGAGCAAGGAGCAAGAGAGACAGAGAGTGAGGGAGAGAGCGATAGAGCAAGGGCTAGCGAAAGAGAGCGAGAATGAGGAAGCCGGAGAGTGAGAGAGAGAAAGAGAGTGAGAGAGAGACTAAAAGATAGCCTATGCTACTAGGCCTGTTTGTTTTTGCTGATAACGGTCAGCAAGGCCCCCCGTGCGGAGAGCAGAAAGGCAGCGGACCTAGTTTGAATTTTTGCGGCCTCTCTTTTGTCTTTTTGCAAGTTTCCTGGTAATTTTCTGACCTTAAACAACCAAGAATCGACTTAAATAAAATAGACAAAAATTTTAGAACAATGGCGCTCACCGCCGATTCGCGCTATTTATCGGATACCCTCGTCGAGCTACCACAACGGAAAGCGATGCCGGAGCCGCAGTATAGAAGGCTTTGTTGTGGACGGATCGGATATGAGGCTAGTGCCGCTTAAAGAGCCTGGAAAGCGGAAAACTCGACGGTTCTTTAGGCTAGGTCTAGCGGCTATGCAACACTCGTAATTTCAGTTGCGATTTTTATTTTGATAGGCCGATGGGCAAGGAGTGTCGTGCTTTGTCGAGACCTAGTCTAGGGAGGCGGTTGATTCTCGAGCTTCCTAGCCCCTTTAAAGGATGTTTTTAGACGGGTGTCCTAATAATCGCTGCTTTGGAAGCGGCATATTGGTTTTATGATTTTATCCTCTTCATGTTCAGCCTAATCCATCATCAAAGGTGGTGTAAGTTTCTTAGAGTTAGGAGAGAGCGAGAGAGAGGGCGAGAGAGAGAGAGAGGGATAGCAATTGAGAGAGCGGGACTTAAACAGAGGAGAGGGGAGCGAGAGAGAGAGAGAGAGAGAGAGAGAGAGAGAGCGAGAGAGAGAGTGGGCGAGCGAGAGAAGGCCAATTTTCAGGGAGTTTAACAATAAGCGGAACAGCACTGCTAATAACCTTCGGCGCCATCCTCTGCCTATTATTTGGTGTCTGGCTCAAAAAACCGATTCTCGTGCAGCTGCACTTGATTTACATGGTGAGTACCTACTATGATTTTCCCTAGTCTTGCCCGGCCCTTTAAAGGAGCCAGCAACGCATGGTTATGGATTTTTGGCTATAGATTCGCCCTGGAATTTTTCATGCCCGCGACACGCAACGGGTTTTGTTAGAGTTTTTAGTAAAATTCCTCAGATTCTAAAAATCCAAGGTCTTGCCTTGCTCCTCCCTTTAACATAACCATTTTTAGGTCCTCTCCATCGTATGGCTGATTTTACTGGTCCTCGGCTGCGTAGCCCTGGCCATTCTACCGTACCCAGACGTCAATCACTACTTTCAGTATAGCGGATCGCAAATTGGAGGTATCCAACTTATACCGATTACGGTAAAATAAGCCAATTTGCACATTTTTAGTTTTAAACTACCAAAACGATAAATTTCAGCCAGGATATTTGCCTCAGTAATGTTCTTCATCCTCGTATGTCTCTGCATATCGAAATTCATGATGGTAAAGCCTTTTTTTAGCTTTTAAGATTGTTTCGAATTTAGACAGTGATTGTCTACCGCTACTGGAAAATATTGAAATTTCGAACGACACTGGAATCGCTTGTGTGAAAAATTGTGATAAAAATCTTCATAGAATTAGTTGAAAATATGCACACACTGTTGTTGATTGCTTTCCCTTGCTTGCTCTCTTTCTCACACTCTCTCTCTCTCGCTCTCTCGCTCTCTCTCTCTCACTATCTTCCACATCTCCCCCTCTCCCTCTCACTCTTTCACCCGTCTCTCTCCCGCTCTCTCGCTCTCTCTCTCCCGTCTCTCTCTCTTTCTCTCTAACTTGGCAACTCTTCAATAAGTTCCGGGTGCAAAACTAACACCAGATTTTTTGGGGGCATCAGAGTAACCAGAAAGCTAGGTGGCTCTGACTCGGTCGCTTTCTCTCTCTCTCTCTCTCTCTCTCTCTCTCTCTCTCTCTCTCCCTCTCTCTCGCTCTGTCTCTCTCTCCCGTGGGGATGATCCGCGTTATCTTTTTTGTGCTTCTAATGCAAACACTCCACCCACATCCAGGGACCCGGGTGACATGCAACATCATCTGATCACCTTTCCCAACTAGTCACAAGTTTTGAATTTCGTAATTAAGGTATAAAGATCTCGCTCTCGCTCTCTCTCTCTTTCTCTCGCTCTCTCTCTTGCCCTCCAACTCACAGAGCCTAGGTATCTGGCAATGCTTCTTTTGATTCCAGTAAGCCCAGCGATAGGCTTAAAGTGCCTAATTTTGCCTTTTTCTCTCTCTCTCTCTCTCTCTCTCTCTCTCTCTCTCTCTCTTGTCTAATTATATTTCCCGATTAGCCGACGTGTCCCAAGGAATTTCCCACGTTTTTCGGAGTGACTCGGAATATTTCTGGCCCCATGGGGACCCGAAATATTGGCTGGGAATCGCTAATTTCCGCTTATACTCAATTCACCTGTCGTTCGTTGAGACTCCCATTCGCAGTTTAGAAAGATTCCGTTCTCTTCCAAAAATCTTTTAATAGCTTGATCGTTTCTCGAATTCAGAGTTTCAAGTTTTAGATGATACTTCTTTTGCCATGTTTTTACGAATTTGCCATATTTTGCTACGTGCTTTTTCATGGTTTATTTTTCAGCCAAACCTGTAGGATCTATAATTTAGATGCGCCTTCTATTGATTCTCTTAATTATCTGTATGATATTCACCATCTTTGTCGACGCAAAAACGAAGAAGCGCGGCAAGAGAAAAGTGAAGGGAAAGGACAAAGGGGCCGCGAAAGCTGGGAAGAAATGGCAACCCGCGGGGTCTAATGTAAGTCTCTTGGGCCCTTGCCGCGCTTACTCACAATCAGCCCCTGAATTCCGCACCGTATCCCAATTTTTTGCTGCTTTTGCAATATCGGGGGGGATGCGGGTTCTAAGAGTCCAGAGACTCCCAGTAACGTAATAGTAATAGGTTCATGGCGTTTTTAGTAACAATGAATTACATTTTTTGAGTAAAAAAAACTAAAATTTCGAAAAACCTATTTTGCGGCTATTTTTGGCTGAAAAATCTATATTTTTGTATATTTTAACGAAAATATTTTAAATTTTTTCTTTTTGGGAATACGAAAAACAATTTAGGTACGCTGCTTCTGCTAATTTACTATTATTAAAAATTTTGGGAATGAAAGCATGAAAAAACTGCATCCCTAGAAAAAGTTGGCCGCCCCCCCCCTCGATATTGCGAAAGAACCCAATTTTTGTTTTTACAGCAACCCTGCGAGCGAGATTGGGATTGCCCGAAGGGTTCCGGCGAGATTTGCATCTGGAAGAAGTGCATCGAGCAGCCGAGTTCGAATTATCATGATGAGCTGTGAAAACACTGTGGTTTCTACCGTCATCGCACTCTATTTACATTTTTCATTCTTATTTTTATGTTTTAAAATGTAAAATATGATCGGCCCAATCTAAATTTACACCTTTTCAAGCCATTTTTTGCAAGAAAAACCGATATTTTTCCACCCATTTCCCCACTTACAGTTCGCCCCGCCTCTTCCACTATTTCGGGTTGATTTCTTTCGCTTAAATTTTCCAAATTTTTGCTGTTTTTTGGTATTTTTATTGATTTTTGATAAACATAAAGTATGTAAATCATATTACAGTATACTGGAAGTAAAAAATATCAGATTTTCTTGATTTTCTACGGGTATTTTCGAAAACTGATGGCACCAAGGGTCAACTGGGAATTATAACGACTGGAGTTTGAAGGGTTAAGAATAATCACAATGTAAAAACGCGTTTTTAAGGGAGCGGAAAGCGCGAAAATCTACCCTTTCCAGTGCCTAGGTCTCGACAGCTACGCGGCGCTCCAAATGACACGTACGCGGCGCGCCAAATGACACATAGGCAAGGCTCTAAATGACAAGGGAAAATTACACCAAATTACGAGCAGGTACTTAAGGCTCTAGCAGATACCAAATCAGCTATTACGTGTCATTTGGAGCGTCGTGCAATTGTCGATATCTAGCCGTAAGCAAGGGGTCGATTCTGGTGCTTCCCAGTCCCTTTAAAAATCTGTTTTCAAGCACACAAAAAACAATTGGTCCATAACTGAGAATGGGCGATTTAGGGTGGTAGCCGCTGGGGAAACTGGCTTTTGTTAAAAATATGAATAAAATAAATACAGGCGATTTCCCGGGCTATCCCCTACTGCAAAAAAGGTGTAAAAATCAGGAAATTTCGTTGATTTAGTTCCAAAATAATGTTTAGACTTTTTATAACTGGATCATCCCGCCATCTTCCGAGAAGCTAATTGGCTTTACCTAGACAAAATCAGTTTTAAAACGATGCAAAAAGTTTTAATACCTCGACCCCGATATCCTCATTGTTGTTTGGGCCCTTGTTGCGACGGAATCCTCTGGAAAATTGAGGTAAATATTTCTAGCAACTCTCTCTCACTCGCTCTCTCTCGCGCCTCTATCCTCTATCTCTCGCTTCCTCATTATCTTTCTCTCCCTCACGCCATCTCCTTAGCTCTCGCTCTCTCATTCCCTTTCGCTCTCTCTCCCCCTCTCCCTCTCTCTCTTTCTCTCTCTCTCTCTCTCTCTCTCTCTCTCTCTCCTCTCTCTCTCTCTCTCTCTCTCTCTCTCTCTCTCTCTTGCTTACTTCAATGCTCGACGAACAAGCTTCTTCAGCCCGGCTCTAGCCTTGTACAGCTCATTCCTGACACGATCAGATAGGCCGCCAAGCAGATCACCGATCATCCGCTGCTTTTGCATCGGGTTTAGCTCATCATTCTGAAAAGAACGGTAGAAAGGTGTCAGAGAAGAGACAGAGAGAGAGAGAGGAGAGATATAGAGCGTGATTAGAGATTACTTACCTTTACAATTCCTTCAATGTACTGATCGGCATTTGCGGCTTGCTCGCTCATACGGCTGCGCGACTATAACTTGTATTAAATATACGTGGACTATCATATCAAAATTTATATTAAGCTTATAGAGCTGAATATAGTTTTATTAGGGTTTTCATGCGACCTATGATTTTCCAAAGCCCTAAACCTACGGTAACAACAACATTTACTGTCCCCAAGCAGGTTTCGCCTACCTTGAGCAACGCTTTCTCCTTTTTCTCTCGCCTCTGACGCACTTCTTTACGAAATGTCTCGAAATCTTTCTAAAATTGGGATTTGATCGCTGATATTGTTTTTTAAGTTTAAAGTGAGCCGGAAAGGGCCAAAATCAACCCTTTCCCATGGTTAGGTCTAGACAGCTACGCAGGGCTTAAAAAACACATGAAAATATTGGATATTGCCTATACATCACGCTCCGACCGGCTTCCAGTAGTCATTCTAGCCGGAGAGCGTAATTTGGTGTATCATGTAGCTGTCGAGACCTAGTCTCTGGAAAGGTTGATTCTGGCACTTCACAGTCCCTTTAAAGCTACTGATTACTTACCTTGACCTGCTCGGTGTCCTTGGCCACAATGTCGGCAATGATGTCCTCCTTTTCTTCGATTGGGAGCTGGCTTGAATTGGAAAACTTCATGCGAAAATTACGGTACGCGACCCACCTATCGCCAAGCACCTGAAAAACGTCTTTCCTCGTTTGTTCGGAGGCTTTCTTCAGGAAGGGCAGGTCTTTTTGGGTAGGGTTGCTGAAAAATTAGTCACGATTCAAGAATTCTGTTTATAATTTGCGTTTAAAGGGACTAGGAAGTGCCAAAATCGACCCCTGGCAACGATTAGGTCTCGACAACTACGCGAGGCGCCCGATGACACCTTTCTATCGTATTTTTTGTAGCTGTTAGAATGGTGACAGAAGTATTGACGCTACGGAAAATTACCAATCTGCCTGCTAGAGCTAGAACGTCATTTGGCGTTTCGCGTAGCGGTCGAGACCTAGTAGCTAGAGGGGGTTGAATTTTGGTTCCTGCTCCTTTCCTTGTCAATTTTTCGCGATTTTTTTTGAATTGTCCAAGCTTTACTGTAATTTTTGTGCAAACCCTACCTTCTTTTTCCATCAAAAATCGGCCCATTCTGAGCACAAACAAGCGTCAATAGGAAGAACTGGAATACGGCCAGAATTAGCATTCTGAAAATAGGGGCGATCACATGGTACGCTTCTGGACTCGGAACGGATCGGAATACACCGTAAAGCCCGATCCAATGCTGTTTACACAAAGAAGAAGGTGCCGAATCGCTTGACAGCCAGCCGTCACTCGGGTCGTCCAAAGGTGTGGGGCGGATATTTTGGAAATCTCTGTGCAGAATAAAAAAATTCTGTATTTTTACAGCCAAGCTTTGTGAAGAATTCAAAATCCAAAAAAACCCTTGAAATTGAGGGTTCCTAGAGAGATATAAAAATGTATCTTTCTCTAAAAATGGCGCATATCCCAACACGGTAAAACGGTAGTTTACAACAAAAATTCCACCCTCATTTATTCAATTTTCCTTGGTTTTTAATGTCTACAGGGTGTCCCAAAAAAACGAACCATCTGGCATTTCGCCGGGTTACATCCAATCGGTCCCATATTTGGACCAGAGGTGTATCCTACTATATATAAAAAAATAGGGTCTGTGTGTGAGTGTGTGTGTGCCACTTTGCATCCACTTCCGTCTGTCTGTCCGAAGGATATCTCAAGAAGGGTTTTAGGCTACGTATGATACGTCATTAGATGCGTAATGGTCTAGGGATGACTGCACACATATCAGATTTTTAAAAATTAGCCATTTTCGCTATTAAATTTAGGTTTTTGTAAAATCTTTTTGTTAGGAATAATTAGCATAGAGCGGAAGTGGGTGGTATGGGGTCCGAGACGGGGCCAGGGTTGAAAAGTCGCGAAGCGGCTTTTCAACCCTGGTCCTACCCTAAATAACAACAATCCTGACTTACAGCCCCATAGCTACAGTAGTTTTAAAGTTATAACGAAAATACTGTTTTTCCAGAAATTCTGAGTAGTTTTATCGGCTATCTTTTTGGACTTTGCATCGATTTGCATCGACTTCCGGCTGCGAATCCCTACTTTCGCTTAAGAACTTGCGTAATTTTGCGTTGTAAAAATCGCTTAAATCGAAGCTTATTTAATTATTTTACTCCGGAAAAAATTTCTTAAGGTAAAGATGGCCTACCGGATCATTTTCACTTAATGTTTAGGGGGTCTAATTCCACGAAAACCATATGAAAAATGGAAAATAGAGTTTGTTTTTGCCATAACTCGAGAATTACTGTAGCTACTGGGCTAAAAGTCAGGATTGTTGTTATTTAGGGTCTGATACACATCTCGTCCAATTTTAGGCCCGGTTGGATGTAACACGGCGAAATGCCAGATGGTTCGTTTTTTTTGGGACACCTTGTATATTTAAGTGATTTGACGACTTTAAGGATGCAGACTAGCGAGCGGCATAGCTGCAAGAAAAAAATTTTGCTGAATGACCATTCTTGGGGTTGGTAGCCGAACCAACGAACCTCACCTGTCCTCTTCCCTCACTCACTGAATGCTCTGTTTACCTAGTGGCTTTTGAGGACCCCGCAGGCTACCAGAGGTCCCGATTTTTGGCTAAAATGGACGGTATAGACACTGGAAAGGAGACTGAGAAAACAAGAAGGGGGAACTGGTAGAGAGGGGCTAAAGGGATTGGGAAATTGAGGAAGGGGTGAGTCAGAGCACGATTCAGGTGAAAAGAGAGGGTGAGAGAGAGAGAGAGAGAGAGAGAGAGAGAGATAAATGAGAAGCCCTTCCAAAGACAGGTCAGGCTAGCAGAGAACCTTCCTGAACTGAGAATTAAAAACAAAACTGGCGTATTAATCGGACAGCTGTTTTATAATTCACCGGACTTCAACCGGGCAGTCTCAAAATTACGTAGTTAACGCTCCAATAAAAATTCGAGAAAAGACAATTCTTTGAAACTAACGAACAAACCATCGCAAGAAAAATGCTTTTTAAAATGAGCTACTACACGCAAGAAATTCTGAATCTATCCTAAAAAGCGTTTTTATACGATGCCAGCACTGACCCTCCCGGGAGGTTCCTCATCAAATCTAGTAGATTTAATAACTTTTTGAAAACCGAGCTTAAACTATGTGATTTAAGAATTTTTTCGCACTTAAATTGGCCGTAAGTCTTGCAAAATATCGATTAGGAAAATTTGGTAAACATCTTCGGATTCGGCACGAAATTCCTTACAGGATAGGCGTCCCGGCTAGAAACCGGGATGTCACTCAAAACGTCTCCTTGTAAGGTCAATATTTTCTTTGTCTTTGGGAAAGTATGCATTTGCCAATTTTATCTTTGTATGCAACGCGTCATAGATTTCTTGATTCCCTTGAAAATGTACATTTTCTAGATCTGAAGCGTTCTTGATTGCGAAATTCCCCGTTCCGTCAGCCCTCTACTTTTTGCTTTTTGTCCTTTGGCGTCTCATCACTTCACTTCGGGAGGAGACTTCAGAATGGTATGGGATGTCTGTGTGGGTACGTTGTCCAATCTCCACCTCCCCGTTTCTACGGCTCGCATAAATAAGGGCGGGTTGCCGGGATGCGCGCGACGCGCCCCAGTTCAGCTTTTCCTTTGTCCTTATTTTAGGGACCCGCACGGCTGTTTTTGTACGATTTTTAGTCGGCTAATTCCTACGAAAAAACTTGAAAAATTCCCGTTTTTGCTTGATATTCCGAGCAGCTACGCAACGCTTCACCTTACGCTCGGTTGACCACACTACGCTCCGATTTACGCAAAAGTCGCTCCTGGGCTCTGGAAATATAGCCATTAAGTTTCCTTCCACTGACTACGCTACCGTCCTATTTACGCTCACCTACAGACTGAACTTGGGCTGCAAAACCTTGCACGAGTCGCTACGCTAGGCTCCTATTTACGCCGCGAACATAACCATACTCGGACGTAGGTACCGCTGCATTACGCTTCTGTTGACGTTGTACTGTTGCACTTCGTTGCTAAGCCAGCTGCGCTATAGTACTCTTGCGTACGACTGACTACCCTGATACTCCAGTTGACGCTCCCACATAATAATCTAGAAAAATGGCGAATCGACTCCGAACCGCTAAAATGTCCTATGGAATTCTGATAATCATTGCATTCATTTTTACTATGGTTGCATTATTCACGCCTGGATGGAGGTCATATAAGGTGAGCGAGAGAGAAAGAGAAAGAGAGAGAGAGAGAGAGAGAGAGAGCTAGCGAAAAGGAAAGAGCATGAGGGAGATAGAGACAGGGAGAGAGAGAGTGAGTGAGAGAGATAGAGAGAGTGAGAGAAAAAGAGAGAGAGGGGGAGAGAGAAAGTGAACATGAGATTGGGGGAGAGTGAAAGCGAGAGAGATCGAGTGAGGCAGTGAATGAGGGTGAGAGAGTGAGGGTGAAAGCGAGCGAGAAAGCGAGCATGAGGTTGGGAGTGGGTGAGAGCGGGTGTGAGAAGGAGTGAGATAGACGGCAGAGCAAGAAAGTATTCAGAAACACAAGGCAAAGCTCCATTGTGTGAAAATCATAAAATTATAGGGAGAGGGCGCCCCATTTTTCGGCCTGATCACGTTGGACTGTGGAAATGGCGTACGATACGTCGCAAGACCGGACTGTCACGAGTGGTTTAGGGTAGATTTTTGATAGGAAAGTAACTTTTTCAAAAACGTAGCGCAGGCTACTGCCGTATCAAAACTTTCAAAGACCATGATTTGATGCCAGTAATTCATGAAAATGGCATTTGGTTTTGTTTTAAAGAGGCAGAGACACTAAAAAAGCATCAAATTTGACGCTTTTCAGTACAAAGCCACCTTCGAAAAAGTAGCTCTCGGCTGCATGATCGTCGCCGCACTCCTCGAGTTCATCTGCGTCATCTCGTTTTGCCTGTTATTGTCGAAAGGTATGCTATAGAGCTATTTTACCGTTAAAATCAAAAATATAATTATTTGCCCAGTATAATTACAAATTTTTAGTTATAAAACGAAGATTACAGTTTTAAGCAACAGAAAAGAATTATGGCATTTTCAGCAAGGTATCGATTGGCCGCCCCGGCGGCTGGAATGTGCGCGCTGGCGGCTCTATTAATCGCCATTGCCGTCATTTGGTATGCAGTACGCTTCGATACAAAGACCAGTGAGTTGTTATTTTTAATTTTTCAGCTTTCTGTGCCTGGAAAAGCTCTATAAAGGCAAATGAAGCTAAAAATTAAACGATTAAGCTTGTTAAAACTTCTTTTTCTGATTTTCTGCCCTGTCACAGCACCTTTAAAGTTATAAGCCATCGTAATAACTGTAGAAAAACGTTTCCATTCAGCTGTCACAGTCCCTTTAAAACACTTTTTCAGCCTACATGCAGTCGTCAAGGTATGAAATGGTTCACCAGGCTCATCTTGGATATTCCTGGTGGGTTAATGGAATTTTTAATGCAAAAAAATATACAACAAAAACCAAGAAAATTCCATTTTAGGTACCTCGCCATCGTCGCATTCATTTTCACCCTTCTAGCGGCCGCAGCAGCCGGAGCTACAAGGTATGAAAATTTTCGTAGTAATAAACATTACATGACTGAAATTACTTATCTAAATTTTAATAGAAAAAATTATGTGCGCTTAGGCGGAAAAATCAATAGCCAAATCTTTAGTTGTCTGGCCCTTTAAATCTTAAAATTTGGATATTTTTTCAGCTCCCTTGGTATCGTCGATACACGCCCTCCGGAAGTGCACCACCATCACGTTAATGCTTAATTTGAAGCCCATTTTTTTTAATAAATTCTCAAAACTTAGTATTTTGCTTTTATTTTGCGATAATCATAATATTTATTCATCAAAGTCTTGAAATTATGCACCGAATTATGAAATAAGTATCGATTGGTCCGACAAGAGAGAAAATCACAGAATCAAGCAAGGAAAAAACTGTTTCACGCGATATAATGCTCAAAATTTCTCAAAAGCCAGCAACTGGACCTTTCCCAAGAGCTCCCATCAACGATCCCGCGTTTTTCGACAAGAATAACATAGCTTTCAGCTCTTTCACGACGCGATCGAGCTGAAAAAAATATGTGATTCTATTTCTAACCCGCTCTCTCTCTCACTCTCTCACTCTCTCGCCCCCACACACACACCTC